CTGCAGCGAGCACAGACCTTTTCTCTCTTCCTGGGACAGGCTGACATGTACTCCTCAGGCTGGGACTGCACGCGTTTGTGCGTGTGTGTGCGCACGCGTGTGCCGCACTGGGGCTTGAACTCAGGGTCGGGCCGAGTCCCTGAGATGTTTGGTCAAGGCTGGCGGTTCCACCGCGGGAGCCGCAGCTCTACCAGCCTGTGTGTGTGTGGGGGGGGGGGTCATTGGAGGTGAGAGCCTCAGGGCCTTCCTGCCGGGCTGGCTTCGAGCCCAATCCTCCGAGCTCCGCCTGCGGAGGGGCCGGTGCGCGGCCTGGAGAGGAGGCAGTGTGGCTCCCTCCTCCTCCCCCTGCCCTTCAGTCCCGGGGATCGAACCCAGGGCCTCAGGCTTGAGTTCCCCCAAAAGAAGAGGCAGCCGAGCGGGACACCCGGGGCGCGGCTCCACGCAGGGAGTCGAAGTGAGTGCGAGCTGTGGGGAGAGGGGCGTGGCCCGGGCTCCATTTGCATGCCCCGCCCCCGGCCGTGATTGACATGGGAGGCTCCGCCCCGCGCGTTGCCTAGTTACTCCCGGCGCCCCGCCCCTGGCACACACCGCCCCAGCGGGGTTCAAGTCCGGCTGCGCCCGGCTAGGAACCAGGCCAGGCCCGTGTGGTCCGGGTGAACCGGTCGGGCTGGTCCCCACGGGTGGCCCAACCGGCCCTTGGGTTCCGCCCCGCTGGTTAAGGGGAGGGGAGGAGATCTGAGAATTGGGGTCAGGACTGTCCCCGATCCCGGGCCTCCGAGCCTCCAAGGAAGGGTCCAGCCCAGAGCGCAGAGGAGGGAACAGCCCGGAAACCCGCCTGTCACCCCTGCTGCTCACTCAGGAGGCTGCCATCTGAGGGTCCAGGTTCGAATCAGGCCAGGGCAGGAAAGTCCACAAGACTCCTTTCCAACTAACCGGCCAAAGGCCAGACGTGGAGATGAAGCTTCTGAGCACCCACTTCTGAGAACAATAAAAATGAAACAGCCAAGTGAGAGCAGAGCTGGAGGCCCTGAGTTCAAACCCCAGTTCTGACACACACACAAAAGAGAGAGAGGTGTTGGAAGCATGGCTCAGGCGGTCGAGGACCAGCCAACCAGCGAAAGCGTCAGACAGGAGTCCAGATCCTGATCTCATCCAAAAGAAAGGAAAAACAGCAGTTGTGAGAGATATGTATATGTATGTGTGTGTGTGTGTGCGCGCGCGCTTGTATGTAGCAAATGCAAAGTCCCTGTGATTAGGAAGCATAGATGTTAAAAGTAGGTCAGTGGGGCCAGAGAGCTGGATCTGGCAGGTTGTAGATAAGACAGGACTCTGTCTACACAGAAGTGTGTGTGTGCACACGGGGGCTGTGGTTGAAACGCAAGGACTCTACCCTCCTCCATCCAATTGTATTTAACTGGTTTAATAAATTACCTAGAATCTCACTTGGCTTTCTGCTCAAGCCTGGCACTCACTTGAGCCATAGCTCCACTTCTGGCTTTTTTCTTTTTTGGCTTGTTAGTTGGAGATCAGAATCTCAAGAACCCTCCTGCCCAGCCTGACTTGGAATCACAATCCTCAAATCTCAGCCTCCTGATTCACTGGGTTTATAGGCATGCAATACCATGCTTGAAAATGCCTGCGGCCTCACACCGACTACTGCTTCCCACAGAACCTAATGGCGTGGTGAACCTTGCTTTGTTATGCTCTAAGTAGGATGAGTGATTACCCAGTAGATGAAGTCAAAGATAAATAATTAGATGAGTGTAGTTGTTTTACAGATAAGACCAAAATCCTGACCGTGAATCGCTGGATGTTTGGGGAGAATGTATTTTAAGGGCTGAGGTGAAGCCATTCTATTAAATGAGAATAAATTAAGCATTGAGGGACTGGGTGCCACTGGGGTATAGAACTTGCATCTCAACCCAGGTCTAGTGTTCGATCTCCAGCACCACAAATAAATAAATGATCATGAAAGACTTTGGCTTGGGGTAGAATTATATGAATGAAAATTCAGGCACCAAATCTCTCTCTCTCACACACACACACACCTTTCAGCAGTGGGAGATTGGAGGAAGGGATATTTGATGAGGTAACCAAAGAAAGCTTTCTCCAAGGGGGGACTTTTCTAAGTATGTGCCAGTAACTGGGGCTTGAACTCAGGGCCTTGTGCTCTTCCTTAGCTTTTGGCTGATTAACTAGAGTTTCATAGACTTTTCTCCCCAGATTGGCTTTGAATCACGATCCTCAGCTCTCAGCCTCCTGAGTAGCAGGGATTATGGGCATGCACGAGCCATCAACACCTGACCGAGCAGGTGACATTTCACTCAAGCCCCCAAGCGAGAAAAGACTTACAGGGAAGAGGACTGGGAGCCCTAGAAGCATGAAGTGCCAAGGCCCTGGGGCTGGAAAACACTTGTGGAATTCTCCCAGCAGAGTGGCCCCGGTGTGGAAGGGATACACAGGGGAACTGGGAGAGACAAAAGGGTGTAATTTTGTGCTTTATGAGCTCGGTGAATCTGGCTGCCTGGCCTGGGAAGGGAAATGGCAGGGTAGGAGCCACCAGCTTCTTCAATCTGGCAGCTGAGACACAGCCCAAGGGCCAGGAGATGGGGGAAAAATCTTAGCAGTTAAGTGGACTGCTTGATTACTTTTCCTTTACATGACTTACCTCCTCTGTCTCTCCCTCACCCCCCCCCAACCAGCTTGGCCATTATTATTACCCTTCTTTCCCATGCTGAGGATGGAGCCCAGAGCCTGCAAGTGCTCTGCGACCCAACCACATCCCTGGCCCTCAACCCTTTCCAGGAACCAAAGAGACAAGAACAATTTTACTGTCCCCAAACTGCAGCACGAGAGAGGTAAAGCCACACAGAGAAGGGGTGCATTCATGCTTCCTGTGCGGTTCAGGGGTGGGGTTGTCACATGGTGTGAGTGGGTGCCAGTCCTGTGGCTTGAAGAGTCTATGAAACTCTGGCGAACCAGCGGAACACTCCGCGTGGAGCTGTGATTCTAGTGGTGCGGTGCCCGCGTGGAGGGGGGAAGCTAGGGGAGAGCTCAAGGCCCGGGTGCCTGGTGACTTTGTGCTCTAGGCTAGTGTTCTACCACTTGAACCACAACCCCACTTTGGCTTTTTGTTTTGGCCAGTGGTAGGGCTTGAACTCAGGACCCAGACGCTGCCCCTGACCTCTTCCTGATCAAGACTCAGCTCTACCACTTTGAGCCACAGCAGCTCTTCTGGTTTTCTGGTGGTGATAGTCTCATGAACTTTGCAGCCCAGGCCGACCTCGAACCACACCTCAGAGCTCAGCCTCCTGAGTAGCTGGGATTCAAGACGCCTGGCCTCTTCTGGATTGTTCGGGGTCAACTGGACATGAAAGACGCTCCTAGATTTTCCTGCCTAGGCTGGTGTCGAACTGTGTCCTTCGGGTCTCAGCCTTCCGAGGAGCTGGGATGACAGGCCTGTGTGCTGATGGGGCGCCCCGCCAGGGCCGAGGTGGGGGTGTCTGGTGTACACCCTCCGGGCCGGGGCAGCCGATCTCTTGGCTGAGCCTAAACTGAAGCTGATGTCCTGGGTTTGCCCAGACAGCGACTGGCCTGCTGGAGACTGGGGGGGGGGGCGTCCCGCGGGGTACAGGGCGCCTGGGGCGGGGTTCGCTTGTGGCGATGGGGGGGCTGGTCCGTGCCGCACCGCTGCGGGCGCCCCCCTTCCTCCTCCCCGCGGGCGGCTGGGCCCAGCGGCTTCCCGCGGAAGGAAGGGCCCGCGGTTCCTGTGACAGGATGCGGGAGGGGCCCAGACCCCCCCCCCGCCCCTGGGGTGATCGTGGGTCGGTCTCTCGGTGTCTGGCGCCGAGCTCCCCCACCCCCACCGTCGCCCGGGGAGCCCGGGCGGGGGGAGGAGGTCTGGGGCGGGGCCCCCCTCGCTTCCCACGTGCTCCGAGGTCAGGTCCCCGCGG